CGACCTCCACGTGGTTCCCCCTGGAAACCATCGTGAGCAATTCTTGTTGAATTCGTCACGATGGGCTAACTGACCTATTTCATCCTCACCTATCATCCTTCACTGGTGTATACCAATAGCGCGAGTGGGATTACCATTCCATTATCATCCATTAAAAAAAAACCTCGCCTGCGCGGGGGAAGAAGGAATTGTTATTGAAAAATCGCAAAGGGAAACAAAACCTATAGAGTACTTCCCGACCTAAAATTATGGCAATTACAAAAATATGACCTAATTAAAATGGCAAGAAGCAATGTTATGTAGTACAATTAAAGGAAACAATCTGAAAACCCTAAATTTGTAGTTATTTCACAAAAAAAATCTAAACTTGATGATTTTGTACGGAACACTCGTTGGGCGAGTCCGACTTGCGCTTGACCTCCTTTTTTAATGTTAAGGAAACAAACAAGTAGACGGTCCATCTAATGGAATCCGGCTACCGTCGCCTATGAACATTTGCAACACGATAGGAGACGTTTGTGCGTTGTCGGGCAACAATTAAATAACTAATCATCTGGACGAGTGGCGGTCCTCCGCCGTGCATTTTTCAAGGCACTTTCTCCCACGCACAACCATTCTTTGGAATCAACTTCCAGCAGCAGTAATTCCGAACCGATACGACAACATAACCTTCAAGAAAAGAGCATATTCCTTTTTAAAAGGCCGGCAGCACACCTGCAATGCCGTAGGTGTTGTGGGTGATCATGGGCGGCGGTAGTCACTTACCATGTTCTCCGCATGGTGAGCCGCATGCTCGTTTGTCCCTTGTGTTGTAAAAAAAAAAACTTCCCCATATAATACTTTAAAGGTAGTAATTAAACTTTAAAATGAGAATAAAACTTTAGTCTTTGTGCTAATTAAAATATGCATACCGACATTGAGTAACAATATTAAGATCCGTACCCGTATCCGTAATAGCAAATAGTGTTCCGTATCCGCGAATACCTCTACCTAGATTATAAACGAGTCGCCACTGCACTTTATCTTTTTTTTTAACAACACAGGGGGCAAACGAGCATGCGGCTCACCTGGTGGTAAGTGACTACCGCCGCCCATGATCACCCACAACACCACCCGCATTGCAGATGTGCTGCCGACCTTTTAAAAAAGAATATACTCTTTTCTTTAAGGTTATGTTGTCGTATCGATTCGGAAATACTGCTGCTGGAAGTTGATTCCAAAGTATGGTTGTGCGTGGAAGAAAGTGCCTTGAAAAACGCACGGTGGAAGACCGCCACTCGTCCAGATGATTAGAATAAAACTTTAGTTTGTGGCGGGTATCTAATAGTACATACTCGTTTTATATATGTTTCTTACCTTAATCCTATTTACTAACAATGGGGGGAAAACTGCTAAAGTGATATTTCGGTATTTTTTTAATGAATGATAATGTAATGGTAACCTGTATCCTGCGTTAACGGTACTATACGCTGGCGGGGTATTAGTGAGGGATGATAGGGGAGGATGACAAAGCAAGTCAGTTAGCCGATCGTGACGAATTCAACGAGAAATTAGTCACGACGGTTTCCAGGGAAGACCACGTAGAGGTCGCCCTGACAGGGTGTATTGCTAGCAATGGGACTGGTAGTCTGCGTTGCTGACAATCCCTTCCTCTCCAACCGGTATTTTGACATTAACCACTATGATTTCCGGCGGCATCGGGTGCAGGTCATTCTGACAGGGTATGTTGCTAAGCTTGCATTGTTACCAACTAGTGAATTAATGTTTATCTATCATCATTAATTATTACATTAAAAAATTAACTTACCTACAAGTACCTCTGTCCTATTCGTGTTTCAACCGTGAGGCAGTTGTGTTTGTATGGCTGTGTTTCGGTGAAGGGTGGGATATGGCAGTGAATTTACTGGGTACAGAGGAATAACACCTGAGTCCATTAGTCCACCAGAGAGAGATGAGTAAACGCTATTGTTATCGCTTTGATAAAATATAATTATTGCTAACGAATAAGTTGTCCGTTTATTTCATATTGGGTTTGCTGGAAGAAATCTCTTTTAGAGATAAGCTCGCCCTTTTTTACTATTATATTAAATTATCTATTATTGTTATACAATACCTTGTTTGTGTACAATAAAGAATAATACCTAATTCAAGTTTTTACAATGGCAACAGTTGACAAATGCTTCTGTCTTGGGGGAAAGGGATTGTTAGTAATGGAGACTGAGAATCCTATTGCTAGCAATATATCCAACCAGTTCGACCTCCTCACGGTTCTTCCTGGAAACTATCATGGTTAATTCCTGATGAATTCATCATGATGGGCTAACTAGCCTGTTTTCATTCTCATCTATCACCCTTCACTGGTGCTCCACCAGCGTATCTCATTAGCGCAGGCGGGGATACCATTCTATTTTCACCCATCAAAAAAAAAATGCTTCTGTCTACTTCATTACACAGTTTAGTCATGACTATATTTTTTAAATTCAATCTTTTTATAAACAAAACGTAATTACATCCACGTCTTTGTTATAAATAATAAAATATCTGCATTATGTTGTTATTGTACCGATGCGGGATCGTTTATTTGATTTGATATTTGTTAGTGGCCGTGAGAGCCGAGGTAGCAATCTGTACAGCCATTTCATGGCACGACCTGCCATTCGGTCATTTTCAACGCACTCTAGCACAAAGCTGCCGCGTTCAGCACTCTTTCATTTTTAATTATGCCGCGTCGCGTCGCGTCGCGCGGCATCAAATGTCATTTTAACTGCGGCGGTCAGCGGCCGCCATATTTTTTGCTCCCGCGCTTTTTCTGCGCGCGCCCACGTCCAATGGCGATCGTAAAATTTGTTATTAATAGAGTAAAATTTCGGATTAGGTAGTATTAAATTCGAAACAAAGCAAGGATTTAATTGGCGAGTCGTGTCCGAGTGGTGATTTGTCCCTTGCGCCAATATCCGTCCTTTATTGTTTTCGATTGTAAAATGATTTTTGAAACTGTTGCATTTTTTCTGCACTGCTAAGGCACTGCTAAAGTGCTACAGTTACGGTTAAAATATTCTATATATATATAGTTTATTTACTTATTTTAAAATTATCGTTAAATCTAAATAAAAACAATACTTTAAAAAACGAGCTTTAATCTGTAGGATAGATATTGAATAAAATGAGCCAATAAAAACAAACCAATTTATTTTGAAGAAATATCCAAAATAGATCTGTGCATTTAACTATTTGAAAGTAGGTAAGTATGTATATATATTTTGTACAAACTATTATGTACCTTAATACTTATAATAGACGACACACATACCAGTAAAACTAAACTGTAATAAATGTACATAAGTATCTATAATTTTAAGTACCTACCGTTACAATATTTAATTACTTAAGTAATGTACTTATAATAAAAAATATTTACATCATTGCACCCAACTTATTATCTATATATATTGTATATTTTACTTTAAATAAAGTAATAATATAGCAAATTAAACAATTATAAAGAAACGTCTACTTATATAGGAATACATGTGTACAATTTGATGCACTCCATTTATGTTGTTTTTATCACTACCAGTTCTTCACAGTTTAGTGAAATATAAAAATAATTGATTATTTATTTACGAGAATCAGTAGAATTGCACGCAACTGTACGGCAGTAATGTGTAGTCATTATTCATTAAATAACATTTAAACATTTGTATGGAAACACGGTCTATATAATCTAAGGTATTAAATTAAAAATTTTAGAATAGATTTTGCTTCACTCTGCGTATTCTACCGCCTGTACAATGGATTGTGCTCAGAGGAATTGTTCAATATGATGCCCACAGCCACTTTCTAGCATCGTACGGCTCGCCATCGACAGGGAGTTCATCCTCATGTCCTACAGCCTCAATGGTCGCGTACTGCGCGGTTTCAGAGATGTTTCCTCCCACGAACACTCAGGTTGTGGAATGAGCTCCCTGCCGAGGTTTTCCCAAGAGACTACAGCATGGGGTTCTTCAAAAGGGCGGTAAAGAGGTTTCTTCAGGGTCGGCAACGGGTGCGTAATGCCTCTGGTATTGTAGATGTTCATAGGCTACGGTAACCACTTACCATCAGGTGGGCCGTATGCTTGTTTGCCACCTCAGTGGTATAAAAAAAATTAAACCTGAAAAAAAGGAGGTAGGACTAACTATTATAGAGTAGATAACTTCCATGGGAAAAATATTAATTATTTTTGACATACTATTGTAGTGCGCTTCTCTATTAATAAAAACTTGAAGTACGATGTCTTTTGCCTGCTATATATTATTTTATTAAGGTTTCTCCAACACTAACAATCGCTGCTATTGGAAAAAAAAAATACTGTCATTTAATATGCAAGATTATAGACTGGACCATTATGGTCTAGATTTTTCAGTTCTTTTAACAGTAGGCAAATAAATAGCTCATGAATAAGCTCTCCTATTGAGCTCGATACTAGTCGGGCATCCTCGAATTTAAAGAGTAAAGCTAACAAACAATTACAATACAGTATGACAGTATATTATATGTGTTACATCTCCCATATCTATAAGTAACAAAATTTTTCATCGTGCCTCCTACCAAATTGTTTATAATTACTCCTCTCCATCCAAAGGTTGCCTGGAAGAGATCGCTCTTAGCGATAAGGCCGCCCATTGTTTTCTCATTGTGATTATTTCTTGTAATTATTTATATTTATAATAAGTTTACTATTGTAATCTTTTGGAGGAAACAATAAAGAGTATCTATCTATCTATGACTCACGGTAGTTACTATTCGAGAATACCTTTTTAGCAAATTGATTTTTTAAGTTATATAGTACTTACATATTCAATATGTAGGCATTGAATTCGTCACATGATCTGTCACATGATTTTGAATTTAAAACATATTTTGAGATAGCCTCAGATTATACACATAGAGCATCGAACTTCAAAAATGGGTACATTTTTTGTCAGCTAATTGTGAAATCAGCTGACTCTTTTTTTCTCACTTACGCATAAAATGTAAGTTGACCTATTATTTAATAAATAAAATGAGTGTTTAAGCATTAAAATGATGCAGAATTTATAAGATAAAATAAATATATAGAAGTAATAAAGGAATCACTCATATCTATTTATCACGCAAAATTGTATGATAAAGTTGACCCGTTTTTCTTGAAGCATTTTTATGGAGACTATCTATATAATCTAAGGAGATAGAATCATTATTTAAAATCAATATTTCGTATGAGGATCATGAGTTCAACGCGTATTCCAGTTGATATAAATTATATCGATACATATTTCACGTACAACTTCCATTAGATTGTACTGTCTACTTATTTCTCGTAAATTTCTATAATATCTTCTATCTAATATAATTTATCTAATATCTTACACTTCCTATGTACACAAATAATACTTTTATTATCGCTACATTCGACAATTTCACTTTGTCAAAAGTCACTCGAGTCAGCGCCACTTGCGGGATTTTGCGGCAATCATTTCGTATTTGTAACGTTAACAGAGATGTCAAATTGTTATCACGTATTAACACGACGGATTGAATGCTAATGGATCTGATGATTTAATTGTAGTTTGATCACCTTTTGAGATAGCTGAAACGTCAACACCAATGTTCTACCACTGATCACGGTCTGTGATATAAAGATGTAAGGTGAATGTAATTCATCTTCGTGATTCTCTTCACACCACATACAAGTCCATCACAGTGCAGCACGATCACCGGTCGTGGTTGGTCGCGTGGTGGTGGCGTCAGAGAGCATGCGTGTGGTGCGGCGGTGGTTGCTGGTGGGGGTGGGGGAGGGCGTGCGGGTTCCCTGCCGCGTGCTGACGACCCTGTGGATATGAAATTAAATTTATTATTCTTTCTCTATGCTTTACTAGTCCGTTACCTAATATATAGCAAAACTAAGTTAAATAGTTGTCGTCAGTTAACTCCTTAGATTGGGGGGAAGGGATTGTTAGTAATGCGTACTACCAGTCTCATTATACACCATCTTATGACCATCAAAGATGGAAAGTGGTAACCGTCGCCTATAGACATGAGCAGTACCATGAACATCACAGAGTGTTTCGTCCATGATATCCCCCATGCGTTGCCATTCCTGAGAACTCAGGTGTTATTCCTCTGTACCCTGTAAATTCACTGGCATATCGCACCCTTCAAACTGAAACACAGCCATGCAAACACAACTGCTTCACGAAATTTAGAAATATCCTACTAATATTATAAATACAAATGTTTTTAAAGATATTTGGATATTTATTATTCAATTACGCTTAAACGTTCGAGCGAATTTGAATAAAATTTGGTATATACTAAATTTTACATACGAATAAATTTTATCCTAACTACAAATAATAATTATATTATTTTAACTTAATACATAGACTATTTATATACTGTTTCATGCAGACAAAGCCGCAGGATACAGTTAGTACTCTATACACGAGTTAAGATTAGATAGCTGGTTGACATGAGCAGTAATCTTACCTGCAGATAAACATAGTAGTCGTACGGCTGATGTAGCGGCCAGCACCTCTGGGGGGGCACAGGGTACAGCGGAGGCACCGGGTACAGGGCGCCTCCCCCCAGCTTGTTCCTCAGGATCCGGCTGATGCTGGACACGGAGGGCACGTTGTACTTGTCACAGACCCCGTCGGCCAGCAGTCTGTCGCGGATCTCCCACGCGAAGATGCCGGGGTCTTTTGCTTTAAGCTGCTTTATGTAGGACACCACCTGTGAATTATATTTACAATGTATAAATGATAATTGTTTTGTTCGGCTTCGGCATAGAATAAGCAACCCCTTCCTTCCCGTGGGGGTCATAAGAGGTGATTAAGGAAGGGCGAGAGATGGGCTACAGCCCTTGAAGGAGTTTTGCCAGTAGTTGCCACGCTTGGCAGGCAGATTAGTAATTGCAGTTCTTCTATTCATTTATGAGTTTCCTCTTGTCGGTGCAACTAATTCATGCATCTTCCTCCAGCCAGCTCTATCCCAGGCCATATCCTTGATCTCCCTATACGACATGACACCTAGTGTTTCCTTTATCTGCCCCATGTAGTTATTCCTCGGTCTTCCTCTTCCTCTTTTGCCGACTATTTTTCCTTCTACTATGCTCTTAAAAAAATCGCCATGTCGTATACGGTGGCCCAGCATTTTGTCTCTTCTATTCTCTATTATTTTAATTAATGTTCTTTTCTCGTTCACTCTTTTAGTAATTGTAGTTAGGCTTTAAAAATGTTTTAAGAGGGACGCCGCTGCCTATCCCTGGCCATCTCTTAGTCGCCTCTTGCGACACTCTGTCTGTATACCTGTGTGAATACTAATAATAATAAATACTATATCATTGGTATTTTTAGTAGCAGCCTGTCAAAGATATTAGAAGCGGCTTTAAAATATCTGGAGTCGGTTTAAATACTTAAACACTTTTATTATAATTTTGTATGTTAGCACACTAGGTCTATAACATTGATTTGGCTTTTGCTGTCATAATGTTGTAATTATTTTTAATGAATAAATAAAAAATAAAAACTTCGTGCAGTACCTTAGGTGTGGTGACCCTGGGCTTGGAGCCTCCAATGGCGCCCGGCAGAATGGACCCAGTCTCGTGGTACCGCGCTAGGATCTTGGAGACGCAACCGTGGGACACCCTTAGTTGCCGGCTGATGTCGCATGGCCTGGTGACAAAATATGAAAGTTTGTAACAATGGATGGTTTGTTAATCTTTCACGAAAAAACACAGAAACATATTTAAAATAACGGAGAGAGTTTCGTGTCTCCAATCACTGTTTATAATTACTCCTCTCCATCCAAAGGTTGCCTGGAAGAGAATCGCTCTTAGCGATAAGGCCGCCCATTGTTTTCTCATTGTGATTATTTCTTGTAATTGTTTATATTTATAATAAGTTTACTATTGTAATCTTTTGGAGGAAACAATAAAGAGTATCAAAAGTAGTGGAGTATTAAAGTATCAAGAGTGGTACAAATTGGTTATTATAATAAGTATATAAAACACGAGACACTCTGTAGGGGCATCTCTATTTACAAAGAGAGAGAACCATCCACTTCTGATGACGGTTAAAACAATTTTTTTTATACAACTTAGAATGGCAAACAAGCTGACGGCCCACCTGATAGAAAGTGGTAATCGTCGCCTATACACATGAGCAGTACCATGGACATAACAGAGTATACTGTTTCGTCCATGATACCCACCCACGCGATGCCATTCCTGAGGACTCAGGTGTTATTCCTCTGTACCCTGTAAATTCACGCCATATCCCACCCTTCAAACCGAAACACAGCCATGCAAACACAACTGTTTCACGGTAGAAACACAGAGGTACCCAAGCAATCTTTTGTACAAAGTCTCCCTCTGGTAACCATATAACGTATCATGTTTTATTTTGTATCTACTAATTTCGTTAGTAGATTTAAAATTTTTATATTTCCTTCTTTCAGAAGTTGCTCTAAATTAACTAATAGCAAATCCTAACAGGTTCACCTGATGCCCAGTTGCGCCAGTTCCACGATTCGTAACCGCACCGCGTTGGGCAGGGGGCGGCCGTTGACGAATACGCCGCCCAGCTGGTTGACCTCGCCGTACTGCTGGGCGCCGCCACCCACGCCTGGGTTGCCCATGCCGCCGCCGCTGGGATCTGCTGCCAAGGATATTAAGCTAATTATAGCTTGTTTCAATACAACTTAATAAATATATAAACAAACGAATAGTGGACCTAATCATAAAACAATCAGTCGTTGTATATAAATAGCACAAATGGACAATCGACTACTTTAATAAAAAAAAATATACTACTGAGGTGACAAACAAGCATACGACCTTTTTTTTATACAACTTAGAATGGCAAACAAGCTGACAGCCCACCTGATGGTAAGTGGTAACCGTCGCCTATATGTGCAGTATCATGGACATAACAGAGTACACTGTTTCGCCCATGATACCACCTATGCGTTGCCATTCCTGAGGACTCAGGTGTTATTACTCTGTACCTAGTAAATATATATAATATATATATTATACGGAGCAAATATAAAAGGAGTGCATAAATTTAAATACCTAGGGCACTATGTTACTGATGACCTTAAAGATCAAACTGATGTCAAAAGGGAGCGTACGGCGTTGTCTGTTAGATGTAACATTTTGGCTCGCAGGTTTGTCCGTTGTAGTGAAGAAGTAAAAATCACACTCTTCAAAGCATACTGCCAAAAATTCTACACTAGTAGCCTGTGGGTCAACTGCACACAGGCCTCACTCAGTGCCCTACGAATCCAGTATAATAACAGTTATAGAGTTTTGTTGGGGCTACCGCGCTTTTGTAGCGCTTCTAGCATGTTTGCTCAATCTCGCGTAGATGACTACTACGCTGTAAGGAGAAAGAGGACTGCATCTTTGCTACACAGGGTTAGGACAAGCACCAACAGCATTCTGAAAGTAATAGGCGAAAAATATACCTTGCCTATAATTGGGCATTTCATTCAGATGCTGTTCTAGTCGGCTGAGTCACAACAGAGTGAATTGCTTTAAATGTTCACTTTAATTGCTTTTCTTTTTTATTAACATATGTTGTAAGGAAATTTTGTCTGTCTATCTATTTCGGTATCATGCAAAAACTACAAACTGCGCCAAATTGGATGCGGTTTTTGTAACTACAAGGTTTAACTTAAAATAAAAAAAAATCTTTTATTTTGATACACTAACTAGAAGTGGTCTGTTTCGTTGGTTCACTTCTGAAAGCCACGCGTACGTAGAACGGCCAAGAAGTTTAAAAAATATTAATAATAGGATCACATTTTAATACGGAATGCATTGGAAGCAAACCGTGTCGCGTTACATACATATGCTTGTACGATCAGTCTCCTCACGTCATGTTGATATTTTTGTTCCACCGGCGCGGCGGCGGCATGTGACACGTGAACGGACACGACAATTTTTAAGATTTCTTCAAATTCAAAATCATATTTATTCAAATACAGTTGTTAACAAGCTCTTTTAAAATCGTTATATTTTATGATTAGTTCACAGCTAAGTTCGTAATTTTGTTATCTGTTGAGAAAAACTTGCAAGAAACTCAACAGTTACTCTTTTAAATCTCTGTTAACAAATGCATTATGTGTACAATAAGATGGTCATTTGGTCCGTGCATAATCGTAATTCAAATAATTCTTTAATTTGTATATAATACCAGAGGGAGACTGCACAAAAGTCGATTGCTTGGGTACCTCTGTCCCATTCGTGTTTCTACTGTGAAGCAGTTGTGTTTGCATGGCTGTGTTTCGGTTTGAAGGGTGGAATAGGGCGTGAATTTACAGGGTACAGAGGAATAACACCGAGTCCTCAGGAACGGCAACGCATGGGGGTTATCATGGGCGAAACAGTATACTCTGTTATGTCCATGGTACTGCTCATGTCTATAGGCGACGATTACCACTATCCATCAGGTGGGCCGTCAGCTTGTTTGCTATTCTAAGTTGTATAAAAAAAATAAACATAATACAGATATACACACAGTACAAGAGATAAGAGAAAGAAAAATAAAAAAAAACTAAACTAAAAAAGAAACTAGTATTCTTTTTTTTTTGTATATGTATGTTGTAATTTGTGTGCTGTAAGTAATGCAAATAAATTATCTATCTATCTATCTATCTATTCTGAGGCTCTTTTAATTAATGTATGAATAATTTAACAGAAATAGGGAGTGTATAATTATGAGGAGGCAAACGAGACGGATGCAACTAATCAATCTATCAAACCATTCATTTGCCGAAGCAAACGCGCTGCCAGGACACGAACAGATACTTTCTACACAGTACCTCCCGATCCGAAAAGGAAAAAGACGCGATAAAAAAATATTCGCGTTTACAAAATGTCTGTAAGAATTAATGATTGAGTACCACAAGAAAAACCGACTTATTTTTTTTTTTATTGTTAGAGAGGTAAACGAGCAGACGGTCCACGTGATGGAAAGCGGCTACCGTCGCAGCAACACCTGCAACACGAGAGTTGTTTGTACGTTGCTGGTCTTTTAAATATTTGTAGCCACGTTTTTGGAAATGTTTAAAATTACTACAAAACCAGATATTCTGATTTTAAAAATAAACTGCTAAACCGATTTTGATAAGATTCCTATGGTATCAATCTGTAAGTACATATATCCTTTCAGAGAAAAATAAATTTTCCAAATCAGTTTAAAATTGACAGAGTTATAAGAAAACAAACATAAAAAATACAACTGTACTGAGAACCTCATTCTTTTTTTAGTTCGATTGAAAAAAATCTTCTCTGCCTTTAACTGTCCACTGCTGGACATAAGCCTTCCTTATAAGAGGAGTTTTGCCAGTAGTTGCCACGTTTGGTAGGTGGGTAAGCAAGCGCAGTTATGCTTTTAAAAATATTTTAAAAGGGACGCTGCTGCCCATCTCTTGCTTTATTTTTTATATTATCCTATTTTGACGTTAGGACTGGGGTGAAGTCCTCCCCGGGGGGAAAGGGATTGTTACTAATGGAGACTGAGAATCCTATTGCTAGCAATATACCCAACCAGGTCGACCTCCTCGCGGTTCTCCCTGGAAACTATCATGGTTAATTCCTGATGAATTCATCATGATGGGCTAACTGGCCTGTTTTCATTCTCATCTATCACCCTTCACTGGTGATTCGCCAGCGTATCCCGTTAGCGCAGCCGGGGATACCATACCATTTTCACCCATCAAAAAAAAAGTCCTCCCCAATTTTTCTTAATACCCGAATTGACGTAGCATAATGATAATCAGGGTTTAACAGCTTTACTCCGCACATCTATATCCAGTACTCGTTGCTTGGTAAACCAACTCTCTTCCATAAATTATTCCACGACAAATCGCAAAGGAAGTGCAACGGGACAAAGCATTTGTACGTCTCTGCGACGGTATTCTATAAAATTTCACATTGAATTCCGCAACCCACTTTATTTTCACTTTTACCTCACCAAAGTTTTGACTTCATTTAATTCTCATATTCTGTTAGTTTTGGCAATGACAAGTGAAGTGAAATGAGTTGTGAAAACTGAACTGACTTTCTAAGAATGCTAGCAAACTTACTCCAGCTCTTTATGCTGCCACTTGGACGAAAGTGGCATTGTCATTGATCTTACTTGCTTACAAAATACCAAATGCACCTAAATCGCTCTCGGAACCGTCAGCGAAATTAGAATTTGACTTTATAGAATAGTGTTACTGGCCGCAAACTTGATATATTGCGCGTAGGAAAGTAAAAAAAAACATTGGCTGTTGACATATCGCGCACTCCTCGCTCGTTGGGAGCCGGCGAGGTGCAAATTACACCAGCCCCCTTACAAAACGTTTGAATGATGCGAATACCGTTTTATTGTGGCGGCCGTGTCGCAGGCGACGGTCAGGCGACGAGATTTATCGATACTCGGATATGAGGAGTTTTTAGTCGCGTAAGTATTCATATATTTGTACAAGAGTACATTCTAACCGAACTTTGAAAAGGACTTCCTAATTATGTTAGTATTTTTGAGTGCATGTCAGGTCATAACTAGCGAAAACATCACCGGCTATGGCCGGTCTAACTATTGGCATATTTTAGATTATTTTCCAGGAGAGGTCCCTTAAAAAGCCCTTGTCTTCAGTCTTTTAGAAATCTACTGCTACAAGTTCCTGTCCACAACACTGGCTTTTTCTCTAATTATTTCGCCATTCAGGTTATCAAGCACTGGAATGCTTTATCCTTTGACATTAGATCTGCCCAAAACATTTATCTGTATTTTCCCTTGTATCTTAGTAGTTTTTATTCCAATATTATTTAATATTTATTAAACTTCCATGTACATACGCTAAAATACACAGCGTACACACATATATATATATATTTAATTTTATGATCTGATACTGCTTAGTAGTTTATATTCGGACCAATTCATCATAGAATTAATCTTTTTGAATAAAGCAACAGCTGAGTTTCTTGCCCGTTCTTCTTGGCTGAAATTGCGTTCCGAACTGGGCGGTAATGAAAAAAATTACTATTCAAAAATGGTTAAATCTATGGTTACTTAAATAAAAATACTTTTTTCTTTTTTTTTCTCCATTATTGAAAATATACTTAAAATATAACTATGTATATATGTATAGAGTAAGGAACTATAATCCTAAACAAACTGAGTACAAAACCATACAATTCTTTTAAATTCACATCCAAAATAAACGGGGAACCCTTTGATGTGGCGCGGTGGGCAAGAAGTGACAAGGATGAAGTATGGCCGGAGGTTCTCGGAAGTGGCAAAAAATTGTCCACACGTGCGACCACCGCCACCGCCACCGCCAGACCAGTCTGCGGCGGCTGGTCACCGTCACGGGTCAGAGGGCTGTTACTCTGTCAAATATGCACGATCATATGTATCTCTTATATTTAAAATTCACAGCTATAGATATATATTCTTTATTGCACTTGTACGTATAAATAATGTATTTATAAATGTTGTGTGTATAATTTAAAGTATACCACAATCATAACAAACATTTTTAAGATAGGGCAAAAATAATTTTTAATTACATATTAATTAAAAAAAAAAATTTGTATGTTAGGGCAAAAAATATGCAACAGTGCAACCATGTTTTTGTTAATAAAGATTTATTATTATTA